TCGGTGAAAGTAGTTGAGGGGCCCAGGCTCTGCGCCTGGTACCTAGTGCTTCTTTCCCACCCCCGAGCCATAGACTCACCTGGAAGCAGAGACTCGCACCTACCCCAACTCTGCCACCTGCGGAGCGTGAATTGGAGCAAGTTGCTTCAGTTTTCTGCATCTCTGTGTCCTGATTCGTAAAATAAGCTTTTCCTGAGGATTTATGGAGATTAAATTAGATTCCATGTTAAACAAACAAACAAACCTGGTCTTTAAATTGTTGACTAAAAATAGGTTGCCCCCATTTCAGTAGGAATTTAATGGGGAGAGGATTTAGGGAAAAGTGTGCTACTGCGGACAGTATGTCTTTGAAAGGTTGTAGCTGCTGGTGTAGCTTTTTATGTAGTGCAAAGTATTTAAAATACACGGAAATGAGCATTCATACCAAGTGATTGTGTCCTCCCAAGTAAATAAAATATGTGGATAGAAAGTTAAATGACAGCTGTTTTTGAGGACTCTGGTTACAATGAATTGAATGATAAACACATTGCTATTTGAATGAGAGCAACGGTTTTGTGGATCTTTTTCATGCATTTATTTCTAAATGCAGTATACCAGGTTTGTAGCCCGACTCCACTTTCTCTACCTAACGCCAAGTAGGGAGTACATAACATGAATAACAGACCAGCGGCTAGATCCAGATGCGCAGTCTGTGGGTTCATGGTTCCAACTCTTTTGCCTGCATCCCGCACACGGAGAGCGTATGAAGGTACAGATTGCTGGGCCCCATCCCCAGTACCTCTGCTTCAGGGTGCCTGGGTGTGGCCTGAGAGCCTATTTTCCCAGCAAGTTCCTGATTGATACCAGATACACTTGAGAGCTACTACTGTGGATGAGCTTTCTAAACCTCTTGTAAGGACGCACCTTAAACTTAGACAGCTTTTCATCCGCGTCCTTTCTGTGCAGCTACCTGAGGACCCCTATAAAATGCAACTCACCCTTTTCACCTAAGGCTCCATTAAAAAAATTATTCAGCACCTTTTTAAACTGACCTGTAAGAGAGCTCTATTAGAATAAGTGTACTTCACATATGTTTGAAGAATCATCAGTTCACAGGTTATTTTTTCTTACGGTCTTTCTAGTGTGGTCACAATGTACAAAGGCACAGAGGTCAGAATTCCAAGGTTAGCAGGAAGTGGTTTTCAGTTAGACATTGCCTTGGAAAAGTCTGACATCAGTTAAATGTAAGTTGACGTTGCTTTGTGTTTAAAATGGACCTGAAGGCATTATCACAATTCTATAGCAGTAGGCCACACTGCGCGGGAGCCTATCACAGCCTCATTAAGCAGTAGCGCACACCTGTAATTCTAGCCACTTAGGAGGCAGAGTCAGAGGATTGCAAGTTGAAGGCCCACCTAGGCAACTAATTAGGCACTGTCTCAAAAAGTAAAAAGGGCGGGGATGTACTCAGTGGTCAAGCACCCCCGGGTTCCAGTCCCAGTTCCACAGTAGAAACACTGCGTTGATCTCTGGCGGCCTCTTGACACTTGTGCCCCAGGCTTTTTAAGGCTCTCAGAAGGATCATCAGAGGACAGCCTTCTGAAAGGATCCTTGTATCTGATCCTGCCGCGCTGCGTCCACACCCACATCCTGTCTCGCGCTGCTCTGAGATTTCTGGAGTAGTCACTTCGAATTATGAGAAGTACACTCGTTTCTTCTCCAGTTTGTGATCCACAGCGGCTCCTTTTCTTTACCCGCAGATCGCCGTCCACAGTGCCTGTTGAGAAAATACCTCATGACCTTTGCTTATTCCCCCACTTGGACATGACAGGTAAGCGGGCTCCGTGGAAAGCTCTCTGTCTCTTTGCAGTCTGTAGCTGTGAATGAAGATGTGCATAGATTTGGGGGTCACTAGTAATATATCTCAACTCTGAGCCCGTTTTGTTTTTCTGTGTTACTACTCATTAACAGGCACCTATGTGTTTTTATTTGTTTGTTTGTTTGTTGATAAGTTTTTAATTTTTTGAGCTTAAGTCTCTACACCTTTTCTGGTTTATGGACAGTAGTTCCAGACAGGTCTAGACTGCAGGAGAAGGGTCCACATATTTCTCAAAAATTTCATAGATTAGCCCTGTGTACTGATCACGATGCCAGAAAGGCAAGACTTGAAATATTATCATCATCAAACCCTCTTTTATTTTTTAACATTTTATCTCAGTTCTATTTCCATCTTTACCTTAGTGATTATTACTTACATCCACACTGGCCTTTGAATCGTCCCTTAAAACCCTATGAGTTTGAATAGCTGGTTGTAAATAATACTTTTTTTCAAGGGATAAAGTCTTATTTCTTACAATAACCTCTGAAAATACAATGGTGATCTGTCCTTTGACCACCAAATCTGACACTATGCATGATTGTACATTAAGTAATACTTGATTAAAAATTCTAAGTCAAAATGAAACCTGCTGTAAATTCCAGGATTAAAAGCTATGTGCCCTGGAAGAGTCCTATTAGTTAAAGTTATCTTCGTAGTGAAGAAAGCAATTTTATGAGTATACTTCACTAAAATTGTTTTTTTTTCTAAAGGTACTAGTAGGCAGGGTAATCCTAACAAAAAATTTATAAGTACATGCAGCTGTGAACTTAATTATTTTGCCTGTTATGTGGAATTCAAACTTCAGAGTGGTTTTACAAAAACCGTATCAGCTGTTCTTTCAGAGTCTGTAATGGGTATTGTGCTCTCTTCCTCTTACATGCACAAGGATGACATTTCTGCCTCATACCTGCTGGTTCTTAGTTGTTATCTTTGTGAAAATAGGTCTCCCTGGACTGTTAAATTACCATCCCGAACCGGGGACTGTGCTTATGCAGAAATAGTGCTGTTAGTGGAGCCTAGCTTGGGGAAGGCGCCGGGGAGGTCATTGGCGTGGGATGAGAACCTGAGCTACAAGCGAAGCTTCACTCTGTGTTTATAAACGCTGATGACTATTCTGCATTTTATCCGTGGCAACTTGAGATCAACCACATGCCGTATAAACTGAGTTGAAGGATTCATAAGGATAATGCAGATTTAAACCTTGAGGAGAGGCGTTGGACCTCCGCTGGGTGGCAACGCTTAGAAGTCGCTTGGACACAGGGCGTCGGGGGCTTCTGATACGGTGTCCATAGGGCTACGAGCATCACTGAGGGGACAGCATGGCCGCATTTAGTGCAGCTCAAGCTCTGCATACCCTGTCGGTATCCTGCTTTGCCCTTATAAGAATTTCCATCCAGATAGAGAAATAAATGTTCCCAGCTGTATTTGTTCAAACGCTGCTGACAGTTCTGAGGAAGTAGCAATAACTGTACCTCTAAAAGAGAAGTGACTAAATCACAGCACACCCCTCCAGTAGAGTAACGCACAGCAGGGAAAACGAATAAATGTCCTAGCATTTGTGGGCAAATGTTTCATATTTTTTACTTTAAGAAATTCAAGCAAACAAAAGTTTTCAAACCATTTAGATAATAATATCCACTGTGCACACATGACATATGTGTGCAGTAAAGTTTAGGAGCTTGCAGGAGAATGAAAAGCACCAGCTTGGGGTGGTGGGTGCTTCCCGAGGGAGGGCCGGACCCCGGGGGCAGGCGGGACACACAGGGCAGCTCAGCTTTCTAATTGATATGTTTGTCCTTGAGCTGTGTAGTGACAGTGGGGCATCTGTTGTCATGGTCTTTGAATCTTTGTGTTTCCAATACTGCTTAATGACACAAAAGTTTGTTTGTACGTTGAAGGAATAATCAGAATTGCTAAGATACTCTAATGGGTTTGAAGTGTCCTGATGTTAGGACACCACATACCGGCTCCAAATAGGAGACTCCTACTTTTGTATACCGCTCTCTGACCCTCTGGAACTCAGTGAGCCTCTCAACTCTAACTGGGCAACACCGGCCCTCATCGTGGCTGTGAGTTTTCAGAGTCCCATTTCTTTCATACCTCCATACTCTCCATCAGTTCAGGGGCTGGACAGCTCCTTGGTGTGGTCGGGTGACTGGTGGGTCAAGCCTGTGTCTGGTGGGCCCCTGAGACGCACAGTTTTGACCCCGCCCTGTCTCCCCGCAGGAACTGGCAATGGGAAATACTGTTGTCCGCAGCTGTTCATCAACCACCGGTGTTTCTCGGGCCCATACCTGAACAAGGGCCGGATCGCAGAGCTGCCTCAGTCGGTGGGGCCCGGCAAGTGTGTGCTGGTTCTCAAAGAGGTAAAGTGTGCATCCAGTCCCAGTTGGCTTGTTTTCGCGGGACCCGCGTGCTATGGGCAGATACCGGGCCTTCGAATCCATTCGGTTCTCATTAAACCAGTGTGTCCTTTTTCCCCGGGCTGAAAGCTGGAGACACAAAGATGGAAAAGTGATTTTTTTTACCCATGAATGATTCAGTCTAGCGGACATACTTTCCTCTCATGAGTTAGGGAGAAAAGTCACAGTAGACTTGAATCTGTTGCTTTTGGAAGACGGGATCAATTAATTGTGTGTTGACTGCAGACTTCGAGCTGAAGGGTCAAGGCCTCTCAAAGAGGAAGCCAGGATGGAAAGGCAAGAAGAGCCTCATTTATCTGGGAGCATTTTTGTTTTTTGGGTACCGGGGATCTAACTCAGGTCCTTGTGCTTGTAGGGCAGGCTGAGCTAAATCCCCAGCTTATCTGGGAGCGTTTGACATACGGAATGTAGCGCGGACAGTTTAGGCCTGGGTGAGCTTCCACTCAAGTGGGAAAGATGCACAGGCAAGTAGAACGTGACTGGGAGTGTCCTAGGTGCCGGGATGGGCTGGGGCAGGTGGTGTGAGGGAGCAAAAGCATCATACACCAGCTGGGGAAGTGAAACAGGGATCTGGTCCATGCTAGACAGCATGGACGAGGCGGAAACATCCAGAGTGTGGGGAGGAAGTGGAGGGAAAGTAGGAAGGATACTTCAAGCATCTCAGACGCGAGAACCATAGACATAGGAAGCAGCCGGACCTGCCTGCCTTGAGTCTCACCAGGCCTGCCTGTTGGACTTACTCCTTTACCTACATTCTCACTCTGCAGCAGATTGGAGCTGCTTACTTTCTAAATAGCTCACCTTAACATAATTTGGCTTTATGTATGGAAACCAGACCATATAGATCGCATGCATCCTGAGAGGTAGATTCCACAGATGACAGATTTGTAGTTCAAGAGAAATGGTGATTGTGGGCACAGTCAGGAAACTCGGCACTGCTGCAAAAATGGTAAGGCAGTAGTCCCCCTGGTTAAGCCCAACTGTATACACGTCACTGCATATAGATGCCTGCAGATAAGAAACGATCCGAAAAGAAATCAAGCCAGCATTGGGTATAAGAATCTCTGTGTCAACACAACATCAAACCCTATGTGAGAGCCACCTTTCTTCAGTCTGCCCCAGCTCTCTGCCCGTGAACGGACCTCTGCTATATCGATGTCTCCCTCTGTTGGGGTCTAGTTTTGAGTGATTCGTTAGGAGCATGAAAACTGACAGAAATACAGTGAGTGGGTGGATTTTTTTGCAGCTGCTCTGATTCACACGGCAGGTTGTTAATCAGAGCTCCGCCATCATCCCCTAGCTATGCTAACAAACACGGCCTTGGCCTCCCACCTGTCTCTAGGGACTGGCTATTTTATTTTACTAAATGATTTTTTTTCTAAGTCAAAAGTAGTTACTGCTGATCAGTTCTCTCTGTGATAGATGTCAGCAACCAAATTTAAAAACCATGCCCCTTATTTTTGGTACCGGGGATCGAACTTGGGTCCTTGCTCTTGCAAGGCAGGTGGTGGCACCACTGAGCTACACCCCCGTCCTGGGCTGTTTTTAAATCTAGACTTTAGAGCCATTTGGTGCTTTGACAACAAGTCAGAGGGTGGAGGTTGTCTTCTCAGAGAAGCGCCCCTTCAGGACCTCCTGCCTCATCCCCAGTCTCCATTTTATTCGAGCTGCCTCCACCTCCGGCCCAGACCCAGGCCCAGCCCTAGCCCTTCGCACTGGCTGAAAGGAGATGAGGAAATTGGCCAGCCCAGCTCTCCTAACTGTCTCTGACTTAGAAATTCTCACAGGAAGAAAACGTGAGAGACATAGGCCAGCTGGAGTGCGAGGGCTGAGATACTGAACACAACCTCTCGACGCGGACAGCAGCAAACCAGTGCGCTGACCCCAGGGGTGGTGGGGCTCGCGTTTACCTTGCCTTGCTTCACTGGCAAGCGGGGTGGGGTTGTGCAGAAGTGCTGAGGAAACGCGGGGTTCCGCCAGGCTAGAGCCGCTCTTGTTCCCTGAGCCTCAGAGGCCCTGCTCAAGGGGACTCGGCAGCCTTCCGTCAGATGCCCTACCGCAGACAGTGATGTCACAAAACCCTTTTCCCCGTATCCCCAAGACCGCTATCCCTGGTCAGTTCTGGTTCTGGAACTTTCAGGTGGGACCTGGCAGTTTGGAATCTGGCTTCCCAGGTTGTTTGTGGTTTATCTTTCTGCCATACTGGTTGACTCACTCAGCTGTCTCCTTCAGTCTCTGTATTTTTATTAAAATGTTTATTCCCCACATTTGGGGAGTGTGGTGAGAGTTTTAAATTTCTCTCTCCCTCTCTCTCTATCCCCCATTTTTTTCCTCCTGGCTGCCTCTGTTTAACTTTTACTTAAGTAAAAGGGGAGCCCTACAGTCAGCTGTCTGAAGCGTCCCTCCCTGGCTGTGGGCTGATGTTGCAGTGCCCTTTGTCAAAGCAGCTGCGCACTTGTCAGTCGGGTGGAGACAGCTTGGTGGAGAGGCAGTTGGAATCCCGGTCTCACATGGGGACTTCCTACAGTAACGCTGGACAGAAGAAAGAATCTTGCCTAGCTGACGCCTCATTCAGTCAGTCATCAAAACCAGACGCAGATGCAGGCTGCCTCTTGAGATATTCTGTGGTGTTTTCAGTGCTCCGTCCTAAGTTTCTGCTGAACATCAGCTAACCATTAAGAATGGAGTCTGACATTGGTATAGGAAAAGACTTTATGAACAAATCCTCAGTAACATGGGAACTAGCAGAAAGAATCAACAACTGGGATCTCATCTTACTAAAAAGCTTCTGTACTTCAAAAGAAAGCATGAGCAGAACTAAGAGACAATCTACAATGTGGGAAAAAATTTTTACCAGCTGTACCTCAGACAAAGGACTATTATCAAGGATATATAAAGAACTCAAAACAATCAGTCCCCCCAAATATAAAGACCCGATCCAAAAATGGGCATCCGAAATGAACAGACATTTCTCATACAAAGAAGTAAAAGCAGCAAGAAAATATATGAAAAAATGTTCCACATCACTGGTCATTCGAGAGATGCAGATGAAAACAACACTGAGATTCCACCTCACCCCACAAAGAATGGCTGCTATCAAGAAATCACACAATAACAAATGTTGGCGGGGTTGTGGGGAGAAAGGAACCCTCCTCCATTGTTGGTGGGAGTGCAGACTAGTGCAACCACTATGGAAATCAATATGGAGATACCTCAAAGAGCTTGGACTGGAGGTTCCATTTGACCCAGCCATCCCTCTGTTGGGTATCTTTCCAAGAGAACTAAAAGAATCATATCACAGAGAAGTATGTGCACCCATGTTTATAGCGGCACAGTTTGTAATAGCTAAATCTTGGAAACAACCTATTTGCCCATCTGTTGGAAACTGGATAAAGAAGTTGTGGTTTTTCTATAAAATGGAATATTAGCCATAAAGAGCGAGAGAATAGATTCATTCATAGGAAAATGGATACATATTGAAGATATACTCCTAAGTGAAATAAATAAGTCCCACATGTGTAAATACCGAATAGTTTCCCTGGTGTGAATATTCTGCAACAATGCATAAGATTCTAATAAGATTACTGACATTTAGAAATGGGAGGAAAGGAGCTAAAGGTGTAGGGAAGGTGTGATACGTAGGGCAAGAACAAAAAGGGAAAAGAAAAAAATGTGAGAGAATGAAAAGATGAAAATAAAGTGTTTGTAGATGGGGAGGGGAGGAGGGGGTGAAGGGAGGGCAGAGGTAAGGGGAAAAAAATGAGAATCCAGACTTGCCATGTAAAGGTACATGATCCCAACAATGAATGTAACTGTACTGTATCCCTAAATGTACCAATAAACTCAATTAAAAAAAAAAAAAAAGAATGGAGTCTGAGCCGCTGGAGTCAGCGGGACATAAGAAAAGGTCTGGGAAGGTAGGCCGAAAGAAGCCCAAATTTTTTTTTTTTTTTTTTTTTTGCTGTCAAAGCTCTCTATTATTTTCCTACAAAGAGACAATATACATTTGTTGAACTTTCTCATCACACCACAGAATATGATTTTGTAGAGATAAAAATCATTGTGTAAATGGCGTCTCCCGTCACGGAGAGGATATGACATCAGTTCGTTTCTTGTTACCGAATAAATTCTTGGAGTGAATTACTCGTGAATTTTCGTGAACAGAATAGGTTCATCTACTCTCTGGGGCCCTAATGAAATTTATTGAAAAACTCCCCAAATAATCGTCAGGGCACTGCCGCTGCCCAGCGTAGCTGTAAGCGTGGCGTGGGACGCGGCAGCACGGAGGGCGTTGATGTTTCGCCAGGGCGGACAGCGGAGGAGAAAGCCCAAAGTACCCAAGGCTGCGCTAATGGGAAACCTTTATCGGTGGGAGAAAGGAGCTGGGGTGTGGACGATGGCCGAGAGAGCGACTTCCCGATGAGGGACTTCCTAAGGAATGCGCCGAGGGACGAGAGGGAGGCTGTGGGACACCCTGAGCGTCGCGGTCACTGTCCGCAGCAGCCCTGGAGAGCACCGGCTCGCGGAGACAAAGGTCCGCGCGATACTGGCCTGCTCGCTTTGGGGCCTGTGCTGAGTATCGCACGGTGGGGAGCAGGTGGCGCCGCTTCATCTCACAGCCAGGAGCTGCACCAGGAGAGGAGGAAGGGGCTGGGGTCCCACCCTCCGCTCAGGGCCACCTCCCCGAAAGACCTGCGGCCTCCCCCGGGCCCCGCCCCTTACAGGGCCCACCCCCTCCTGGGAGCGCCACAGGCTGGATGCCAGGCCCTTCTTGTATGGGCCTTTGAAGGACAGGTGCAAGTCCAGCCTGTAGCAAGCAACAAGGAAGAATAATCCTAGCAAAGAAAGGCCTTTCAGGAGCCAAGCAAGCTGGCGAGGCAGGCGCAGACCGAGCAGAGAAATGGGCCTCTGGGATTGGTTCCTCGGGTGGAGAGGCCCAAGCC